CCTCCAGCCATCTTCTTAGCCCTTGTGGTCGCCTTGGAATTAGGTGGGGCCAGTGCTGCAGTCAGTGACCTTTGCTGCCATCTCCAGTTCTTTTCGCTTTGTTTTTTGACACAGGGTTTCTTTATATAACTTTGGCTTTCCTGGAACTAGTTCTGTAGACCAGGCTGGCCTCAAACATCTGCTACTGCTTGGATTAAAGCTATGTGCTACCACCATCCTATCCCTATCTCCAGCTCTTCATCTGCATTCTCTTGTCCATCTTAATGAAAGGCCAGTTGGAAATGTGCTCTGGTTAAATCCTCAGTTTCACCTAGGCAGTCCTTCAAATGTGCAATTAACATTTGGGCAGGTGACCGTGCCGAAGTCTTCAGCTGCTCCGTTTGTCTGCAGGCCTCTGAATTGGCCTTTGTGAAGGCTGGGGTGCCAGCGAGGCTTGTTTTCTGTTTGTTCCTGCGGCAGCTGCCACTTGTCTGTCTTTATTCTTTATCAAGAAAGAGCAAGTGTGAGTGCTTGTGCATCAGATGCGGAGAATGCACTCCAGGCAGGGTACTTCTGAGGCCAAAGCTGCTGGGAGCAATGAGGCGCTTGCAGTTGCAGTGTATGCCTTCCACTCTGCATCCAGTCTCAGTCTTGAATATAGAATTGGCTAAGGGAGGGAGCAGGTCTCAAGTGCACCACAGTGCTTAGTTTTGCAGCCAGTGTATGTGTGGCGGGAGTGGGTAGGGGGAGGGGTGGGTTAGTTTTCTATTATCAAACTCTTATTTTGTAATTTCCACATTGCAGCTCCCAGGCCCTTTCCTTTTCTGAGACAGGGTCTGTTGTATAGCCCAGGCTGGCCTTGAACTGCTAATCCTCCTGCTTGGGCAGACCAAGTGCTGCTTACTGAAGTTTTTTGATTAACCGATCAAGGACTACAAAGCTTCACACTTTAAGAAGGAAAAATTGAAAATTACATAAAGCTGCTGCTGCTGCTGCTGCTGCTGGTGGTACACGCATTTAATCCCAGCACTATGAAACAGAGGCAAATGGTCTCTGTGAATTTGAGACCAGCCTGGTCTACAGAGCTAGTTACAGGACAGCTAGGGCTATACAAAGAAACCCTGTCTCGAAAAACCAAGAAAAGAAAAAGAAAAGCAAGCAAGAAAGAAAATCACACACAAATATTCAACTTCTGATATTAATGGCCAAATGAACTCTCCACACTGTCATGTGGGACCATACATTTCAAATAAAACACACTAAATATTCAACAACAAACAAAACCATCCATAAACAAGAGAATAAGTCATGATGGAAAAATACAAGTGCAATATGCATAGAAAAGGGTCTTAATGGACAAACAGCTCATTAACTGTCATTGCCTATGCAGCACGTTGGGAGGTTTTTGTTACTATTACTATTGTGCATTCCTGTAAATTTGCAATGTTTTTAAGAGCAAATATTATACATGTGAACAGAAAAGGAAAAACCTCAAATGACTTTTTACAAACTTGCAACAAGAGAACACTTCCACTCTATCCGTATGCTAGTATGGCAGAGGAACACAAAAGGAAGCGTTCTTGTCCCCCTTCCTGTCCTCCTCTCCTATTCATCTTTGCAGGCAGTGAAGGAGATCCAGCAGGTACAATTTTCTGCAACCTGTGCCTTTTAAGCTCCAAATTTATTCTCAGCTCTTGTCTGCTAGGGATGGCTACAATTGTAACATCCTTACATTTGACATTGCTCAGTGAAGCTTATAACTTAGTCCTTTGCCATGGATGGTCTAGGGGCAGTGACGTTAAGAAGGAACACAACATTATACCTCTTTGGAGCCTAGAGTGGGCACTTGTGTGTTTAGTGATCAATAACTAAATTTTCTTTGAAACTCTCCCCCTACTATAATGGAAATTTTCTCTCTCCAAAAGTATTTAAGCAAGTGCTACTTTCCCAGGAATTATCAGTTGGGGGAATATAGCAGATCTAATTGTTCACACTTTTATTTAGAGCTCTTTGGACAAATGCATAGTTTTTTTTTTTTTTTTTTTTTTTTCCTTTTTTTTTGAGACAGGATTCAGGTAGCCCATGTTGCAGGAGATTTGTTTGTGTTATTGCTCAAGACTGCCAATGGAGTGTACCACGGAGTTTTCTGGTGGACTCAGAGGAAGACAGAGGTACACAGAGGAATAAGGAGGAGCTTAAAAGATGAGCCATCTTTTCCATCTGGTAAGGTAGAGAAGAGGATTGGATGATCATTTCTCCATCACTCCATGGATCTATCAGGGCTTAATTTTTTCATAAAACAATAAAAGAAGCTGCAATAACCCCAGGCTGACCTTGAACCTGCTATTTAACAGGGAATGGCCTTGAATTTCAGAGCCTTCTGTCATGTTGGGCTTATAGACCTGAACAAAAATGGCTGGTTTTATGAACCCAGGGCTTCTTGTGTGCTAGGCAAGCACTCCATCGTCTGAACTATACCCCTAGCTCTAGCAAATGCACGGCTCTGTTTAAATCTCAACAGCCTCAAGAGATGGGGAGGGCTAGGAAAGCCTTGTTTCTTGTGTGTTACTATGGCTCCACAGACTACTCTGCCAAGGCAGATGGTATTGTTAGAAAATGCTGATATACTCACCACTTGCAATTTCCCATATTTTCAAGCTGAAGTTTTAAACCAGTATGAAGAGAACACCGTTCTTGGCATGCCTGGCAACAACTCCTTTGGGACAATGTTTCAGTTAAATTACTGGGCCCCTTCCCCTAAAGAATGCTCAGGAAGGCAAGCAGTGGTGGCACATGCATTGAATCCCAGCATTTGGGAGGCAGAGGCAGGTGGATCTCTGCCAATATGAGGTCAGCCTGATGTTCAGAGCTACTTTCAGGACAGCCAGGGCTATACAGAGAACCCCTGACTCAAAAAAACAAAATAAATAAATAATTAAAAAGAAATAAATAAGGAAAAAGAATGCTCAAGAGAAGGCAATAAGGTATCTGCTCGCCTCCTGCCTATAAATGTCTAGATTCTGAAACTCTGAATTCCACAGGGTGGCTCAATAGGCTCATGGGACTTCATTTGCATAGGAATTCTAGGACTGAGACAATAGGATAAAAGATGAGGAGGGCAGTTATCTCACTACAACTCCTTTCCTCTCTTGTCCTGGCACCCCGTCTTGCAGGACAAACAAATAACAAAGAGAAACCCACTTCACAGCTAACTGCCTCACACATGGCAGTGCTTTATTTATGGAATGTGGAGAACTTACCTATTTTTTCTAAATGTACTTCTAGATGATTCAGAAACATATACATGATTATCTCAAATAGCTGGTGGAGGACATATTATACTTTGCCAACAAGTTTGTTTAAAAGCGTACCCCAGAGACCACCTGCCCAAACATATAATTGTTCAATGCTGAACAAGGGGTCCAGCCCACACTAAGAGGTCTCTGCAATGCACACAGAGTATGTTTATACAGCACTCCTGGCTCATGGGAAGAAATGCTCATTTGGCTTAAAACATGTAAATAAATACAGCATTTCTTCATCCTAAAATTGGACAAATTAAAGGGTAGGATTGGAAATGTTCTTCTCAAGCCACAGAGTAAAAGGTTAAGAAATTAACCTGAAATCAAATAAAAAAGTTAAGTTGTCGGGGGAAATTCAAAGGGCAAAACTGTGAAGCAGGGTCAGGAAGAGAGTATGAAGGCCACTAGGTCTAGACAACAAGCCCCAGGAAGCTGTGTGGGTCCCTAGTCACCAGTTTCCCCCAGTGGACCAGGGAACCAACCAACTTTGTACCCAGTAATAGTTCACACTGCATTAGTGCAGTTAGCTTTACAATGGGTCCATATGTGACAAATGTTTCTATAAATCTTGTCCTAACTGGCTTACTATTGTTGTTATTAGGACCAAAAGCAACTTGGGTTGGAAAAGGTGTATTTCAGCTTACAGTTGTAGTCCATCATGAGGGTAAGTCAGGTAAGGAACTCAGGGGCAAGAACCTGGAGGCAGGAACTGAAGCAGGGGTCATGGAGAGTGCTGCTTACGGGTTTGCTCCCCATGGCTTGCTCAACCTGCTTCCTTATAGCACCCATGACCACCAGCCTGGGGGTATCAACCACCCACCAGGAGATGGGCCATCCCACATCAATCACTAATCAAGAAAATGCCCCCACAGACTTGCCTACAGATAATTTGAGGGAGGCATTTTCTCAAATGAGAGTCCTCTTTCTAGACAACTGCAGTTTGAGTCTAGTTAACAAAATTCCAAACAGGACACATACCTTTGCCCCTGAGCTGATTTGAATGAGAAATGTCCCTCATGGGCTTGAGTATTGCTGGAGGAAGTACTAGGGCTTTGAGATTATATAGCCTCCCCCCATGGCCAGCTTTCTCTCTCCACATCCTAAACCGAAGATGTGAGCACTCCTCTTCCTGCTCTATACACCACGCCTGCTTGCTTGCTGCCTGCCATGCTGCCCCATCAGGAGGGACTCTAAACCCAGATAACTCTTCCTCCTGTAAGTTGCCTTGGTTGTGAGGTTTTATAACAGCAACAGAAACATTACTAATATTTTTTACAGTCTAGCTTTTAAAAAAAATCTTCATTATGGGTAATTCCAGAAAATATGTAAAACTCTAATCTGTGCCCTTCAAAGAAGATTTATTTTTACGTCTCACAATCTCTAGTCTATTTAAAACTTAATGTTACAGAAACCAATGAAAATTTATCACAAATTACATACGACTTCAGAAAAACTTGTCTGGCATAAATCTTTTATGTGTTATTTATTTATCACTGACTTTTTCTTTCTTGGTTTTTCCAGACAGTGTTTCTCTGTGTGGCTTAGTGGACCAGGCTGGCCTTGAACTCACACAGATCGCCTGCCTCTGCCTCCCGAGTGCTGGGATTAAAGGCATGCACCACCACTTCCTGGCTTGATTTTTTTTCTTTTTTTTTTCTTTTTTTTCAAATTGTTCTCATACAATACATTTTGAGCACGTTCTCTCCTCCTCCCCCAACTAAAAATATGGAATACTTCATGAATTTGCACATTATCTGCTCAGGAGCCGTGCTAGTATTCTCTATATCATTCTAACTTGAGTATATATGAGGCCAAAGGGAACATGCATCAATCTTTAATATTTTTTAATATGCAATAATCTTTATTCAGGTTTAGTATTGCTGTGTTATTATAGTAAATTTCTTTTTCGAAGCTTTCTTGGTACCACATTTCAAAGGGAGTGGGTGATCTATGCAAATGTGTCTGGCATACTGAGAGAGTAACATTCTAGGCTCTAGACATGCTGAATAACCTTAGAAATGAAATAAATGTGTCTAGAAACAACCACAGTTTCCATGCAGAGAGAATTCACATACATGACTGTTGAGTTCTTACTGTGCCTTCTAATACTCTGGTGTGTGGCTGTAAAACTCCGGGGATTAGCTGGTTAGGTACCACAGTTTGCACAGCACTGCAGAAGGCACAGAGCCCCAGTCTGCCACCTCAGAGTGCTGCTTTCTGAGGAAAAACCAACTCTTCAAACATCACCCTCCTCCACCGGGCGCTGACCCGAGTCGCCTGCTTTGTCATCCCACAGGGAGTCTTACCCGGAGGAGGCAGCAGATGCAGGTCTCAATCTTTAATATTAAGTAAAGGGAAAGGGTGGAATGTTTAGTTTTTCAAAAGTATGCGTAGAGAAATTTTTGATTTATTTCTCAGATAAGTCAACGTGTTTTGTTCTGTTTTAGACAGGGCCTCACTATGTAGCCCCGGATAGCCTATACCTAGCTGTTGTAGATCATGTGGCCTTAAACTCAGAGATCTGCCTGCCTGTGCCTTCCCAGTGCTGGGATTCAAGGTGTGTGCCACAATGCCCAGCAAGTCTTTAGTGTGTGGTGTATATGTGCATTCATGCACAAGCATGTGTGTATACATGCCAAAGATTGCCCAATGTTTTTTTATGTCACTTTCCAAGGTCTCTTATCCAACCTGGAGCTCATCACTTTGCTAGACTGGGTGCCCAGCAAGTTCTAGGAATCTGCAACTACCCATCCCCATGAAGGAGGCTAATGAAAAAAGCACCTTTTCAAGATCATGGTAGAAGAGAGATAGGGAGATGGCTCAGCAGTTAAGATTGCTTGTTGCTCTCCTAGAGGACCTAGGTTGGTCTCTAAGTACCCACATCAGATAGTTCACAGCTGCCTGCAAATCTAGCTCCAGGGAATGCCATGCCCTCTGATAGCTTCAGGACACACACAGGGACACACAAGGACACACAGGGACACACACACACACACACACACACACACACACACACACACACCACACACACACTAACTTGGCAGGGGAGGGGGGAGAAAAACCAGTATTTTTTTAGGATCAAGATAAAAAAGCTCACACAACAAGTTAATAAAATAATAGTTTGAATACCAGAGAGTGAAAATGGAGGTATTAACAAGTCATCCTTGGGTTAGGGAAATGGCTCAGTGGATAAGAGAGCTTGCTGTATAAGCATGAGGACCAGAGTTTGGTAAAACATAAAAGCTTGTTGTGGAGATAGCTGGAAGCAGGGGTGGAGATAGGAAGGTCCAGGGGCTTGCTGACCAGCCCATATAACCAAAACAGTAAGCTCTGAGTTCAGCGACAGACCTTATCAAAAAAAAAAAAAAAAAAAAAAAAGATGGAGCACACAGAGAGAAACACCTGGAGTCAATCTCTGGCCTTATACATGCATGCACAGGTGCAGGCAGACATCATAAAAGAGGCTAGCCTTTCTTCCCTGAAATACGGTTTTGAAAATGTCTTCAACTTTGTATTTAAGAATCCCAAGCATGGTGGCACAATCCTGTGATCCCAGCACTCATCAGGCTGAGTCAGATGTCCAGTTTGAAGCCAGCCTGAGCTACACAGTCAGATCCGGTCTAAAATATCAATAGCTGGGGACATAGCTCAGTCACAAGAGCACTTGCCTAGCATATATAAAGCTGTATGTTTGATCCCAGGCACCATCAAAATATTTAAAATACATAAATAATGGGGGTGGGTGCTGGAGAGATGGTTCAGCAGTTAAGAGCACTGGTTATTCTTTCAGAGAAGCTGGGTTTGATTCCCAGTACCAACATGGTGGTTCACAACCTCCATGGGCACCAGGCACACCACTGTTACACAGACATACATTCAGGCAAAAAATATTTATATATATAAAGCAAAAATACATGGACAATGATCAAAATTAAAATCAGGGCCTGGAGATGATGCATCAGCTGGCAAATTGCCTACTGGAAGTGCCTGTGTTCAAGTGAAGACTTGAGTTTGGATCCAAGCCACCCATGTAAAAAGCTGGGCAACATCATGACTATCTATCTATAACCTATCAGTTGTGGGGCAGCCAATGCCCATAAGTCTCTAGGAAGCCAGTCTAGCTGAATAATTAGCTCCAGGTTTGGTAAGAGACCTTGTCACAAAAAATAAGGTGGAGAGTGATAGAGAAAGCCATGTAACATTGACCTTTGTCCTAAGTACACACATGAACATGTATGCACACATAGATACACATACCTCCCCACATACACAAGATTTGACTAAATAAAAGCATTCTGATACTTTGAATGCCATCACTATCAAATGTTAAAATGACAAGAGATCATAGATGCCCTTCATCCTGTTGGTCAGTAAGCAAAGGCCACATAAGCTGATGATTTGGGGGGCACATGATGTCAGGAAAACATGGGATGAGAGAGGCCATACCAAAGCCAAGTTCACCCAAATTCTTTCATATTTCATCTCTAGATAACCAATGTCCCTGACATATTTTTTTCTGAGGCAAGATCTCATGTATCTGTTCTTGAACTTGACAAGTAGCTAAGAATGATCTTGAACTTTATAGGTTACTCTTTGACAATTTCATCCACCCATCTATCCACATAAACAACGTACCTTGATCACATCTACTCCAACTTCCTGACCAGTGACTTCTGACCATCCTGTCTCTACGTCCTGAGTGTTGGGATTGAGGCATGCACCACTATGGCCAGTTTATGTGATGTGCTGGGGATTGAACCCTGGTCTAGGCAAGTACTGTGCAGACTGAGCTATACCTCTAACCCCTCCATAGTGAACTTTTGTGGACTTCCTCCATAGGATTATACCACAGATCATGCATTTGTTTTCCAAGGGCTGGCTGAGCTACATTGCATGACTACATCTTCTATTTCAGATGTTTGAAATTGGGCTTTACTCCTTCTGATGCTTTACTAGGGACTCTAAGTTTCTTCTGCACACTTCCCAGCTCAGTACTCAACTGTCAGGCTCCTTTGCTACCCTCAGGTGGGGTTTCAGTTACACAGAGGCAGATATACCACATTCAGAAATCCTCTCCCTAGAAACAGAGTTTGTAAGTAAAGGAGTTTGAAGGAACCTACAAGAATATTATTTCCCTTATAATGGTGGAAGGTATGCCACTAGGGGAGAAGAGCAGTCAGCAGTCTTAGCTGCAAACTCTGTAAGCTACCATAATATCTTGGCTGACAAGATATACCATTGGTGCAATAGTGTCATGAATGTTATGGGGGCAACCAGTCACTTTTGAATTGGTTTTAAGGCCCACTCCACACTCTTGTATGGTACTGTTAACTAGGCCAAGCATCCATAGATGTGTAGGTCATAGACTCTAGGGGAGAATATACTGTTCTACTAAATAGACATAGTATTAAACTGCATCCTAAGTTCTTATCTTTTTTTTCTTTCTCTCTGTGCAGTCTTGGTTGTCTTGGAACTCATGCTATAGACTAGGCTGGCCTCAAACTCAGAGATCAGCCTGCTTCTGCCTCCCAAGTGCTGGGATTAAAGGTGTGTGCCACCAATGCCCAGCTCTAAGTTCTTATCCTTATACCCACATATTAGTGCATTTCTTAACCTTCATGAGAGAAGTCTTGTTTTTTGTTTTTCAGTAGATGGAGATTAATATAAAGACATGAAACGGTAGACTTTGCTCATCCCTATATGGGACATATATATTAGATTCTCTTACTCCTAGGTTTAGGGAATCATTTCATAAGAGGGGAGCTACAGAACGATTCTAAGAGCCAGAGGAATTGGGTGACTGCTGTGAGGTGGCTTTTTTTTTTTTTTTGACCTCGCAGGGCCAATGCATACATGAATTCATAGCAGCTATGACTACATGAGCAAGACCTAGCCAGTCAATTTCTCAACATGGATCGGGAGGAGATCACAAAGTTCCATCCCTAGTTGAGGGTTGGCAATTGATGGCCACTGTGGGAGGGGCCATTTCCTTCAGGGTTTCTGGCCCTGATAGGATACTTGTGCTCCAGTAGATGGCCCTACATTCATGTGCATGCTAGCAGGATTAAGTGGACTCAGTGGGTTTCAAAAAAAAAAAAAAAAAGAAAGAAAGAAAGAAAGAAAAAGAAAAAGAAAAAGAAAGCACATGAAGTTGGGAAAGGAAAGTGGTGGGAGAGATGGGGCAGAGTTAGAGGAGAGGGATGGGAGATCGTAGGAGGTGACAGCAGTGGATTCGATCAAAACATACTATATGCATTTAAGAGATTCTCAAATGAAAAGGACGAGCTTGGATTAAGCGTTCTCAGATTTGAGGTTTGTGATGAGTAGAAAGGGGAAAACTTAAGAGCAGGTGACTTCACTTGAGGGTAAGGCAGAGGTCTGGACTGAGCGACTTGGGTGTGCTGTGTCGAGGAAGGCCTTGTGCTTTCTCTTTCCTCATTTCTGAATTGTCTAATTTTTCGTTGAGTCTGTGAATTCCTTTCTGCTTTTGTTTTTGTTTGTTGTTTTGTTTTGTTCTGTCTTAAGGCAGGGTCTCTCTTTCATGTAGCTCTATATGTCCTGGAACTCACTATGTAGACCAAGCTTCGCTTGAACTCAGAGATCCTCTGGACTCTGCCTCCTGAGTGTTGGGATTAAATGTATGCACCATCATACCGGTTCAGCATAAAGGAGTCTTAAAAATCAATGAAGACATCCACACATTCACAAAGAATCCTTATAGTCCAGAAACTGCTAAACCCACAGTTTGGGCTCCTTCAGCATACACACCTCGGGGCATCATGTTTGGTGCCGAGCACTGGAGGCTACCGAGAAGGGTAACCCGTGGTCCGTGAACGACTGGAATCCACACCGGAACAAGGGCAGGTGGTGGTAAAAATGGGCAAGAGTATCATCGAAGATACACCAGCTGTCTTGCTTGACTCATACTTGGCTTTCTATGGGGTTCATCTGTGTGTGAGCTGTGCATACTGACAGGGTCATCCTGTAAATGTCTAAAGGAACAACACCAGTTAACAACGCCAAGCAGGACGTGTAATCTGGGAAAGAGAAATCCCCTGAAGATGCCCACTGGGGCACACAGGTGTTGTAGCTATTGTATTCTGGAGTCTCTGCTGAGTAATTTAGGTTCTAACATAGCAAAGGGCAGCTGATCAGTTTGAACCAAATTCTACCTTTCAACTAATTTCCGGGAAATAATTTGTAACAGAGTGGAAGACGATGCGAAGTGTTATATATTGCACGCTAAACTGTGTTCTTTTTCCTGCCCAACTTCATGTTTCCATGCACCAAAATGTTGATGCTAAAAATTCTGGAGGCCACACTTACCTGACAGTTTTCTTCCATCCCAGATGGGCGGGAGGGCGCAGAGCAAGAGCTGCGGGGCCGTAGCAAGCCTCTCGAGGCGGGAGCTAGCTGACCGCAGGTGGAGCTGCTTGGCCGGGCCACCAGAGCCTCTCGCTAACCCCTGTTCCCACAGGCAGTCTCACGCGCACGCGCACTCGCTTCCGGCTGCAGCGGCGCCTCTGGGCTTGGGTCCCGCCGCTACTCCAGTGGGCGGAGCTGCGAAGTGGTCTCCTGGCCACGTGACCGGAGCCAACATGGCGGCGCCCATGGGCGCCCACCTGTTCGTCCGTAGAGGTAAGCGATCGTAGAGGCTGCGCGCCCAGAGATAAATCCGCGCGTGGACTCGGTACGCGCGTGCGTACTTTCAGTCAGACCCACGCACACGATCCACACGATGCACGCTGCAGAAACACAGACACACGTTTGACCAGTCCTTTCCTGGACCATGTCGCTGGGTGGTTAGTCCTTGAGATTTGCGGGTCGTTGCCTGAGGTTTTCTTACCCCATTTTACTTGTGTGATTAGTGGTACAGACATATGTACCGACGACGCCTGTGAAATGCGCCTGAGCCCTCGGTCTGGAGCTATTGCATTGGCATGTCTTTTTGAGAAACTTGTACAATGTGACCACTCTGATGGTGACTCAAGAGAACCAATGATGCCTGAGTCATTCCAAATAGGTGCGTTTGCGGCGAATCATTGTTGAATTAGTATAGGTTCTGATTCTTTGCTGCAAAGAACTCAGAAATTGGTTCAAGGACGAGGAAGAAGGAGCACCAATGACTTGAGGGACTATTGAAGTGCCAGGCACATAGGAACGGTTTTAGGAGGTAAATATTTTCGTAGTGATACCTAGCACTTATTATATACTTTCCAAAACATCTCACCTGCTCAGCTTAGCTTAATATAACCCTCTTGCGTGAAATCAAGCGCTGACACCTTGTGTGTATATGTGTATTTAAGGATGTGTTAAAAAAAGGTTGACGTTGACATGGAATGGTATCCTCAAAATATATTATGTGGAAAAAGCAAGTTGTAGGACAATTTATTTTTAAAATTACATGTATTTGTTTGTCTATTTATTGTGTAAGTGTGTGCTCAAGCAGGTACCAAGGTGTGCATGAACATTGGCGAGTTCTCTTTCCATCACCTGGTTTTCAGAGAGTGAACTCAGGTTATCAGGTTTCGTGGTAATAGCCTTTACCCATTGAGCCATCTCATCAGTCCAGTTTAGCATAAAACTGTTGTGCCCAAATTCTGAAACCCCCAAATCACCAAGAGGCCCATTTCCATGCAAAAGCAAAGAGTCTTTTATTGCAGTTGTTTAACAGCTAACCCCATTAGCTAGGGCCCTCCATTCATCCACCTCATGAATGGCTGGGGGGAGAAAGACCCTGAGGCAGGGATCTGATAGGGCAGTGTAAGGGGTGTGTCTAGGGGGGTACAAAACAGTCTCAGGATTGGTGCACTCCCAGGCTTGGACAGCCTGGCTTGTGTTGATTGGCCAACTGGTTGTTATGGCCCTTAGGCCCTCCCAAGGAGGTTACTATGCTCTGCACAACACTGTTGTGCACTTGTCCGTAAAGCACACCCAGAGCCATAAAGCACAGTCCTGCCAGCTAACTTCTGATTGACCTCCTAGTGACCAGGACAAGAGGGGCAAGGTCAGGCCAGCACATGTTAGCCTGCTAAAAACAGGGGAGGAGGGTTGGTCCTTTCAAAACAACCTGGTTTTGTGAAGTCAGATACCCATATATTTGTGTGAACATGTGTATCTAAGTTTATAATGCGTACAGAGAATGGCATTAGTCACAGTTTTGTGAAATAAAATATGAAATGCCATATTTTCAAAAGAATTCAAGATTTGTGAAATGTACAGTATCTAGCATATCTTATGGCAAAGATGAGTCAATCATTGTACAGAGCATGGCTTGAATGATCTTTTACATTTAAAAGTTGTTCTGGTGAAGAATAGATTTTCTTCCTTTAAGCCTTTGAATGTTCTTAATATGAGAAATTTCAAACACATGGAAGAAGAGAAAACAGAACAGTGAACTCTGCATATGCATCATCTATTCACAAACCGTATGTTACGTTTAGAAACACCCATTCCTTCTCTCTCCCCAGCCACATTGCCTTCCCCAAACTGTATTATTTTGAAGTTTGTCCTAGGTATATTATCACTTCATTTGTAGATTCTTGTCACTCTGTATCTGTGAAAGATGAGCTTAGGATAACACCCTGGCTTTGGGTTCCAACCCCAGCACCACAAGAGGGGAAAAAAAAGACAAAAAAGACTGAGAATCTCACTCAGCCTCATATATATTGTACTTATTTCTAGAATTGCCATTTGTTTTAAGACAGAGTCTCTTGTAGTCCAGGGTGTCTTTGAACTCCTGTGTAGTAAGTTTTCTTTACCACAGTAATAGGTTTCTCCACTGAAGCAGTAAGCCAGATAAAGCTGAATTAAAAAGTAAAGGACCAGGTTTATTTTGAGCAAAGCAACTCCTGGATGACTCCTCCAGCCTCCAGAGATTGAGCCAGGGGAAGGGGCAGGAAAAAAATCACATGGCCCATCTAAAGGAGGGAGCTTAAATTGTTATGCCAACTTTGATATACCACCAAGTAGCCAACTCTCTGATGCAAAAGCAAAGGTTTCTTTACTTAATGAGTTAACTCTATTAATGTGGGTCTTCCGACCATCCATCCAACAACAGTGGGTGGAGCAAGAAGGACCTGGAGGGACTGAGGGGCAGGGAATTTATTGGGGTGGAGCAAGGGGAGTGGCTTGGGTCTGCAACAGTCTCAGGGTTGGTGCACTTCTGGGCTTGGGTGACCTGTCTTGTGTTGATTGGTTGCTATGGCCTTTAGGCCTTCCCAGGGCAGTTGCTGTGCTCTGTATGCCACTGTTACCTAGAGCCCTCCAGCTAACTTCTGATTGGTTCCTTGCTACATGGAGGGTATCTGACCTCCTAGTGACTAGGAGGTTGGCTAAGGTCAGGAAGCTCAGCACATGTTGCTGAGTCAGAGGCCTACATCTTGCTGGGTCTTTTCTGCAGCTTGTTATGGCTGCTAAAGCATGGGGCTGGGTGAGGGTCTGGTCTCTTCAAAATATCCTGTAGGCATGGGTGATGATGATATGTCTTCCACAAACTGAATTTGTGCTCAATTATAGCACTTAGTCAGGGATTGGGCAGCTAGCAGCTTCAAGGGAGGAGCCACCTCAACCAGGAATGGGGAATTGGACATTTTGGCAGTGTGCCACCACACTAGACTATAATGGACATCTTTTAGAGATTATATTGATTTTCTTTTAAAAATGTTGTGTGTTAGGACATAGTTTGGTTCTGCCAGGCTTGGTGTTTTTCTTTGTTAGAACAGATCTCTTTTGGGTTTTGCCCTTATTAGGGGAAATACAAGGAGCCTTACTCCAAAGTAGAATTCAGTAAAGGCCACAATGATAGTGTTTTAGACTTTTGTGAGCAATACTATCTGTTACAACTTCTCAACTCTGCCAGGGGCAAGTGAACATAGCTATGTTTCAATAAAACTTTATTTACAAACACAGGCAACCAGTTAGATGGAATTTGTCTACTCTTACTCTGTTAACAGGAGTAATTCTTAACTCGAAGTCATAGACTTTCTGGGGTCTCAGTTGAATACTGTTGGTGTTGGGGAGGCTTTGTGAGGTTTGCCCAAGGAAGTGTCTTGGGTCTGGACTTAAACTGGGGCTCCTACTTCTACCAGCACTGCAAACTCTGGCCTTGGTTCAGTTCTCAGCCGGCAGCCACTTAGTCTTAATAACCTTGTGGAGTGCCCTGCCTCTTTTCCAGCTTCTTTTGAATCAAAACCTCTATTCTCTGACTTAGCCAAGCATGGCCTCATTCCCCAATGCCACATTTGGGAAGGTTTTGTAGAGCAGAAATCTGGGGAGTGATTAATTTGTTTTCTCTTAAGGCTCACTGCCCTCTGCATTACTTCACTATGCAGTGCCAACAACTGGTTGGTCCACATGTTTTCCTGGTTGCTTAATACAGAAGGAATTCTTATAGCAGTTACATTGCCATAAATAGAAGAAGGTTTGTTTTGATTTTAGACAGGATCTCATGTATTCTAGACTAATAGAGGACTCAGTATGGTTTATTTGGCTTATGCTTCCATATCACTGTTCATCATTAAAGGAAGTCAGGATAGGAATTCAAACAGGGCAGGAAGCTGGAGGCAAAAGCTGATGTAGAGGCCATGGAGGAATGCTGCTCACTGGGTTGCTCCTCATGGCTTGCTCAGCCTGTTTCCTTATAGAACCCAGGATCCGCAGCCCAGAGGTGTCCCCACCCACAATGGGCTGGGCCCTCCAATCAATCACTAATTAAGAATATGCCCAACAGTCTTGCTTATAATAAGCCTGACCTTATGGGGGCATTTTCTTACCTGAAGCCCCCACTTGTCAGATGAGGTAGCATGTGTCAAGTTGACACAAAACTAGCCAGCACAATCACTTCCATCACAAATCATGAGCTTCGTGACACAGCTGACATCCCACCTTTACCAGGTTTCCAGAACTGAGCTAGAAGGTAAAATCTATTCACAGAGAAGAATCCATTGTGAAAAGCAAGGCAGCAATATTAACACTGAGCAGATCATAAGTAGTTTGCAGATTGATGATGTCATTATGCCATGGCTCTAAACAATATCTATTAAGCTATAGGATCCTAGGGCTTAATGACACCAGTAAGGGGCTGCTGCATCTACTGCCTGCTGAACATCTTCACTTAATATACATCTGAAAATCAACATGTCAATAAAAGTATATTTTTTTAAAAAATAATTATAAAAGTATAATTAATTTTTAAAAACTCAACATGTTTACATCTCCAAAATTGGATTTGTAGTAAGTACTTCCCCCCATTCTCACCTTAGTTGTTGATAAGTTTTGTTTTTACTGTTTTGTTTCTCAAGTGGGGGCTTGCTTTATAAAGTAGGCCAGGCTGGCCTTCTGAGTGCTGAGATTATTATACCCATGTGCCACCATGCTCAGCCTAGTTGATGGCAATTTTTAAAAAGCATCGTATTTGACATACAATTCACATACCATACAGTTCACCTACTTAACGTACACAGTGGGACTTTTTACAAATGTTGTTTATGTGAGATTTATACATGCCTGGATATGTGTGTGGGGGTGTGCTTACCTGTGTGTGAGCCTGTGGAGGCCAGAGGCTGACACTGGGAGTCTTCCTTTATTAATTTCCACTTTTTTTTTTTTTTTAAAGACATGGTTTCACTGTGTAACTC